TCTTGCATTCCACCATTTTACCGTTGATCTCATGAAAATGAATCTCACATACTTTATCACTAACATCATCGTTATCAAACGTTATAAAACCAAATCCTACAAAATGTTGAATTTCTTGTGAAAAGAAAAGTTAATTTCTTGAGTGGCTGTTTTTAAATAAATTTCGATAATATTTCAATTGTAAAGGTAATGAAATTATGCTTTAAAAAAATGTTCCGCTATTTTTTCCCTCTTCAAACTCAATAAATTTGTGGGAGAATATTGTGGCTAATGAAAAAGTTAGACCTCGATGACGCTGGGTCGTTTTGTCGAACATTAGCATCGCGTCTTCAACCTGAAAAATTAAAACTAACTAAAGAATAATGGTAAATGTTCTTTGCAATATTTGTGCTAAATTGATAGTTTCTGATAAATATATCACATTATTACTCAAAGGATAAATTCCTTTAATTTCTAACTCGATTTTTTTCTTTACATTCGAATTTTAGCATACATTTTTAACACACACGAAATATTACTCACTTTTCCATACTGTTCAAAATAATTCTTCATATCTTCTAGAGTTGAAGTTGCTGATAAACCACCAATAAACACTTTCTTCGTCTTAATTATCATCTATAATAAAAATGAATAGTTTGTGCTCAGAATTTTAATTGCATTTTTAATCATTTTCAAAACTAAATAAAATATAATGTAAAATTATAAGTGCACCCGGCGTTTTCAACTTTTTTCAGTTCTTGAAAGTTTTTATATTTAATAACTCAAAACTTCTTCCAGCATTATTGGTTCAACTCATAAAATTCATAATTTGAAATATATTTGAATAAGGAAAACATAATAATTAGGAATAGTGAAGTTAATTAAGATTCAAACTATCTTACCTAATAAATCAATAAGTAGCGTCATTTTCTAAGTTTACTTAAAACTTCCGAAAAAAAATTCGATTGAGTTCCAACATTACCAGACTATATTCTCTATTGCTTATCTTGATGAGATGTATGAAATTAATTTTAATTACAATTTCAAATATACTTTTATTTAATCATTTAATAGTTAAAAGTACTGAATTTGATAAATTTGATTGTTTAACTTAGTTTATCATTTACTAATGTTAATTAAACATTTCCACAAATTTCACAATCAGAACCATAAATTATTATAAACACATTGACCTTAACAACGGTTACTACCTCATAATTGAAGACAATAAAGTCAATGAGGAATTTATGAATTCTTATGAAAGATTTCAATAAATGAATTCGAAGAATAAAATAAAAGTTTCATTAATGGAATGAATTTATATAAAGGAAAACATCGAACAGAAATCCAATTAAGAAGAATTTTTCTCTCCAAAGGAAATCATGAACCATTAATAGATCGAAACTTTGAAATAATTTCGAACAAAAAAAAAGCTTTTTGATTTCAAACCATATATTTAGGCTATTTCTTAAAATTGCTATAATATGGCTTTAAAAGTATGACCACATATCTATTAAAGGTATGGATTCTCTGCTTTCTGAAAACTTATTTATTATGGTACGGAAAAAAATTACAAAAATAATTATAAGCCTTGAAATTTGATAAGTTATACTTTGGAAAGACCAGTTTTGCTAAAGATTACATGCAAATTTTTGAAATTCAAAATGAAGAAGGGAGGTATCAATGATGGAAAATGAAAGAGAAAAGATGCGAAGCGACCAGCAATATTCTTTAAGGATTTGGCAGGACTGAATTGGACCAAAATAATAATCCTATAGAAGAAGTGACTTTTGAATTTATCGCTGAATTGGAAAAAAGGAAAGGCCTTTATACTAATCACATGTGAAATGCCTTTTTTCCTTTCCTTTTCAAATAATCCTTAAAACTTTCATCATTTTTAATCCCTCATATTGCTGCTCCTTTCACTGTTGGAAAATGACAGAAATTTCTGGAAAGCTCTTAAATTTGTAATAGAAAGTTTACTTATGCTTTTTTTTTGATTTTTCGATTGTCTCCTCTCCCCACTTATTGCGAAGAAGAAAAGATGCGAAAGAGATGTCACCGTATCTTTTCCTTATTTTACCTTTAAAAATAAAAAAAAAACAAGACTTTTGTCCAGTTTAATTTAAACCACTAAAAATCTTTAAAAATAAAACATATTTTCATCTTCCAGATTCTCTGTCTTTTAATACACTGTACCAGATTAAATTTCCAATCAAATTTTAAATTACTGATGATGGATGATAATCGTCATAATTATTTAAATCGAAGAAGTGATGTATATAATATTTATCGCTTGCAAGATGACGATATTAGTTGCTTTTAAGATACGAGAAAATAAAACATTTCCCGGGAAAAATCTAAACATCATTAAATTTCGACATATACATAGTATATATCAACTAGTGAGAGTGATAGTGACTGCGAGAATTTGTAAAATATTAGCGTAAAATAATTTTTGTACTTTGAATAATAATTGTGGCATAAAATGATTGAGAAAATATATGATAATTGAAGAGTGATACGATGTGGTAACGAACTTGAAATTATTAATGAAGACAAAAAATAAAAAGTATAAAAACTTTTAACGAATAATTTTGAAAAAAACCAATACTGAGATATGGAAAGCTCAATATTTGACTGACTGAGATGAAGAAAGATTTTGAAAGAAATTTTACAAATGACGAATGTGATTCCTTAGATTTTTTTGTGAATGATAGATGAACATAAAATTTAAATTTTGATTTTGTCAAGAACCCGTGGCTTATTTCCCGGTAGTTCAGAAATTCCAAAATAACCGGAATAAGTTATGCAATGCATTTACCAATTGTAATCCTAAAGTTAACATTTCTAAATGCATTTACTTATTAAAGGCATTTTTTCCATTATGGATTTTTTTGCTGGTATTCAGAGAAAAGTATAAAATATGTATTTTTAAATTTATACTTTTAATAAAGCAAGAAAAAATAGAGGTTAAATTTATTAACCTTCGGTTGTGCTTTTTTCGGAAATGCGACTTTTGGATCAATCTGAAAAATATTTTTTGGATAAAGAGGATTTTCATAAATAATAGTAGAAAATTAGAAATTTATTTCAAATATATGCTCGAAAAAATAACGGTTTTAAGAGAACATATCGGAAGAGAAAAAAAAGTTCCAGCAAAAGAATGATATAAAAAAACACTAATCATTTTTTTTTATATTTTTTTCGAACCATCCATTGAAATTAGTTTCACCTTTAAGTTCAACTTTATCCCTACGTATTCAGCATTTTGCTTCTTAGAAAAGGAAGTCATTTATTTTAAAAAAAGAGAAGAAACTTTGTTTGATGCACAAATTTTACCTTTTATTATCACATAGGCCTATATGATAATAAAAAAGGATCTTTTTTGCATGCATACCTCTACTCATTATTATAACAAATGCTTCAAATTTTATATTTAAATAAAAGAAAAAACAAATGGCTACTTTTTTGCCATCGAGTTCATGCTGTTCTTGAGCTAACACTTTATCAACACTTGCCGGATCAGTAAATGTTATAAATCCGAAACCCCTATAATTAGAACATTTAAAAGTTTAAATAACGAAAAAAAATTATAAGAGAAAGACAAGAAATAATCATTTAAAGAATTACATTTAAAACAAATCTATGAATGGATCATTAAATATGACAAGAAAATGGTAGTGTGAAGAGAAGAGAAGAGGAAGAAATATAAATTGAAAAAGAAAAGAAACCAAAAATGAATACCTGGCCCGTTTAGTTGCTGGATCCCTCATTACCATACATTCGTTTACTTCACCAAATTTACCAAAATAATCTCGCAGTCCTTCTATAAAAGTAAAAATCTCGTTTTCTTTTTGATAAAAATTTAAATTTTATGGAGCGAATGCAACTAATATTAGTTGAAATAATAGCGCATTGATTACTGTACAATATGTACATGTGAAGGCGTTTATAATAAATTTTAGCGGAATTTCATTTAGAATATTGTTCTATATTGGAAAGATTTCAATTTTTTAAAATCTTCCAAAAATTTACTATAAATATCACTTCACATATTTCTTGTACTTGCAGAGTTTATTTTGTTCCATTATTTTACTACTATTACTACAACAACGACTACCATGTGCCACTACTATTTGTGGGCTTTTGTCTATTGAATGCCCAACCTGAGTGTTATCAAAGGAGAAATAACCTAATATTTTGAACCGTAGCATATCACATACAATATTATCACCTCAAATTATAACATTCTTCATCGAATTATATAATTACATTCAAGTATTCAAATCCCATCGTCTATTGGATTTGAATGTAATTATATAACTACAACCCTGCAATTTGAATGTAATTAAAAATTTGAAAATAATTATATAAAGTGAAACTCTTCGGTATCAACAATTTTCAAACTTCTTCATAGCTATCACTTAACTACTGCTTAAAGTCATTAATTACTTATTAATTCATAAATGTATCAGTAAAAAAGAAACAAAAAATTTGCAAAAACTGTAAAATATTATTACTTACCAGCTGTTGTTTGCCAGCTAAGACCACCAATAAACATTTTTCTAAAATAAAGCAATTATAAAGTCAAATTCTTTTTTCTTTTTTCTTTAAGGACTATCTTTTCCTTTGCTTTTCTTGAATTCACTATATGAATGAGTAATTTTGTTGACATTAATTGTATGCTTAAGCTAATATTTATTTTTTTAAAAAAAAGTTAGCATTATCTTTTGCACCATCTGATACTAATCAAAAAATTTGTAAAGAAGAAAAAAAAAACATGAACAATTGGTAGAATTTCACACTAAATACTCTCAGATTAGTCAATGTTTGGTACTTATTTCGTTCGATTTTGCTTTCCTCCTATTTATTCCACAGTAATATAAACATTCTAAAGTTTCCGTTCAATTGGAAATTTTCAATAGAGTAGGAAAATAAAAAAATAAGAGAGAAAAAGGTTATTACATTCTGTCCTGTTCATAAGATACATGATAGGTAGTATGCCAAATATATATGCTATCTAAATTTATGGCAAATGTAACAAAGAAGCATTTCAGTTGTTCATTTACTATTATAGATGCAGTAGAAATTTTAAAATGGTTAGAAATGTAAGCAAATTTTTTAATTAATACAAAAAGTTACCAATGAGAATGACATACTCACCCGGGGTCATTTGAGCTGGTGCCATCCTCTGAACTTGGACTCTGTTGCGTTGCTTCATTATCGTTTGCATTGCTATCGGATGTATCCATAACTACTTTTCCACTACACTTCAAGCTATGTTTCTTGTTCAGTAGTATTTCAGTTCAACTAGTATTTCTATACACCGGCCGTAATTTGCCTTCTAAGGCCTCTAAGATAAACAAAAGATGACTGTTACAGTGATGAAATTAACAGATGAATAATTGATGAAATGTGAATTATTCTTGCAAATACAGAATACGTCCGCACTATTCCAATGGTCAGCAGCAGTTAGCAATCAATGACCGTTGACCGATCACTTATTCACCCCTCTTTTCAATGTTTTTCTTTTAAATTGCACGAAAATGTTCTTCCAATTCCAATAGAAATTGTAAGCGGAAATTTATTGATTTCTGAAACACAAAGAATAAATGAAGAAATGAGCGGAAGAACATTAGCGCTTTCACCTCGAACATGATAATAATATTACACATAACATAGCTTATTTAATTAATAATTATTGAATGCTCAAAAAAGAAAGTCCGCAAGTATATCGTAAAGAGTTGCGCGTTTTTCTTTCCATCCCTTTTTTCACTTTTCTTTTTTGCAGTTTCTTTCAAAAACAAAAAAAAGAAACAATTCAGTTTGATTAAACATTAAAACATTAAATTCTAACAAATTTTCAAAACACTGCCAATTGTAAATAAAACCTCACTGCAAACTCTTTTATCACTCTTTCACTCCAGCTTGTGTAATCTTACGAGTGATAATTTTCATTTCGATTCTTTTATTTTCTTCATATCATTTCTTTTTTCCTGATTATCTCTCCTAATAAATTCTTCCAAATATTTTACCTTATTTATTTATCAAATTCTTCTTCCAAATATTTTACTTTTAAATATTTCATTTTATTTATTTACTGAATTTATTAAATTCATTTAAATATTTTATTTTGGAAATTTTATTCAATTTTGGTTTGTAAAAATGCACTATGAAAAATGTGCAAAAAAAGAAAAAAAAACGGAAAGGATGTAAATGTTTAAGTAAATGTATTATATCATGAAATGAACAAACTATCAATATACAAACCAATTTTTACTATACAATATTGCAAGCAATCAATTTTTATTTACCTATCATTTATTCATTTTCCTTTGATCAGAAGAACTGAATAACATAAATAAAATCTTTTTTCATTCATTACAAATATCATTATAATTGCTTGAATAAAATATAAAAAAATTCAATTGATTTTTTTTTGAATTAATGGAAAAAAGAGAGAGAGAATTAAACGATTATATTATAGAATTGGGAGTAATTAATTTATTTTAAGATTGAATAAATTTTTTATTATTTAGAATGGTGAAACAGTTGGAGAAATAAACTGGCAAAAAGAAAGAAAAATAAAATGACACAAGATTGAATGGCAGGAATCAATCTTGGCAAAAATATATTTGTGCTTTCTATATGTGATGAATTTTCAATCGAAACAACAACAACAACAACACAAAAGTGATCCTCACTAATTTCGACAACTCTCGACAGAAAATGAATCCTCAGAAAAGCTATGAGAAATTCAAAGATATTTGACAAAGCTAAATTGCATGGATAGCATTGACGTCATTGTGCAAAGGATCCTCTTGAAATAAACTGCTATAACCAATTTAAAACGGAAAAAAGTTAATATTAACTGAAACGATAAATGCGAAAGAATCGGAAAAGTTAATGTTATCATAAAAGAGAAAAAAAAATTCGTTGAATAATTTATTTAAATAACACTGTCGATAATAATATATGTAACAGTCAGATTCCATCAAATAAAATATCCAAACTTTAGAAAGCAAAAATAAATAAGGAAATATTTTGGTAAGTTGAAAAGTTAATCAGTGATAGCCGTGGCTGATAATGTTGACAAGTGTGTGTGTGTGTGTGTGTATTCGAGTGTGCATTTGTTTTTGAAAAAAAAAAATTTTTTTTTGCAAAATTCTTAAAGCTGAAATTGATTGACGTAGCTCATCCCTGCTTTCTGTGCCTAATTTCCCATATTTCTATGCAAAATAATATATCACCCAAAAGTTTAACATCAGGCATTCAAGTTGTTAAAATTTCTCGTCAAAATTTCGATGTACTCTTATTATGTATCATATTTTACATATAAATATATATTTGTATGTAAATATTGTTGTAAAAAGGATGATGATAGATATATGTCAGTTTTGGTTGAAAGCAAGAAAAGGAAAGAAAAATCGTGAAATTTACTAGAAAAGTAAATTTTACACTTTTTTTGAAATTTGCTGGAAAAAAACTTGAAATAGATAAGAATAACAATTTATTATTCCTAACTTTTTTATTTCAAACTATTATTTTAACAAAATGAAAAATTCGATGAATTGAATTCATATATTTAATGTTATATCATTGGAAAAAAAATTCGTAGTAAAGAGGGTGATGATATTTTGCTATGATAACATCCTGACAAGTTAAAATGATTAATTGCTAGTAATACAAAATTAATCAAGCAACTATGATACTATTTGAATCCATATTACTATGATGTTATTAATTCTAATTCGACAGATTTGACGGCACATCAAAGAGATTTGTAATTTTTATCAATTTTAACTTCGCAAGGAAATTTATGACATTTTGACGCTTACGCAATTTTCTTTTTTTTAAAAAAAAATGACAAAGGTAATATAATTCGTGTGATTGATATTAATCGACATTTCATTATTGATAAATGTATAAGTCGAGAACAGTGTTACTGATAAAATATTCTTGTGCTCGTCCAAGAAAGTGGAAGAACAACGATGGAAGCGATGAGTAATAGATAGATTTAAAGAAGATGGAAGTGATGAACTATAATGAAGGTCATTTTCTGAAGGCATTTCCCAATATGATTAGACGGAATGAGACATGGAAGGAAAAACTCTCGGACTTGGAGAGAATGAAGAATTAGTTGTACGACGCAATCTGCGCCCATCTTCTCAATACCAACATAAGTACACAGTTCAATGACTTCGTATATACATATATATCGAAATGGATATAAATTGATGAGAGAAATAGCTGAAAATATTTTGTCAAATCATTTAATCTTTCTGATAAAGCAAAATCATTGGTGGTAATTGTACTGAACTGGTTAGCTTGTAATTAATTAAAAATAAATAAATATGATAATCACAATGTTGAACAAATGTGGGATATTCAGCGTATATCATGATGAAATGTGATTAGATTATCTCAGGTGAGTTGGCAAACGGTAATCAGAATGATAATGCCGGTATTGTTGTTCCATTCAGCATAAAAAAAACTTCATAAAAACCGGTCTGCCAGGTATCGAAAGGACGCGTCAATATATGCATATGATGAATTGTTGTATGCGAGTAAAACGCGTGGACATAAAAAGCGGGGGGACAGACAGACCCAAACATTTATTTATGACATATCTCTCGACATTTTCGCACCCTCCCTTCCAACTTTCTCCGTCTCGATCAACTCAATCAACAATTACCTACCTACATTGTGTATGACCTCGAGTAGTCCTTTTTATATCACTACCATTGTGTGTGTGTGTGTGCATCGTATAAAGGTGATAACGTCAAGTTACTTCAATAATTGGCAATAACACTGTGATATCCGTGTGATATCACTAATTCACATACTTTGACAATATGGAAAGCAAAAGCCGAAAAAAAAACATCTATTATTTTAGTAAAAACATGTATCACGTGTTGTATATTATCTTAATTATGGAAGCAAATATTGTCATTAATGTCAATTTTAATATATCACACGAAATTTGTTACTTCATCACTTCAAGTTGATAAAATTTAATAATTACTAATTGGTAATCCGTTACGGGAATATGCCTTCTAAATTTTCCCTTTCCTCTCATCAACTGAAAGTATGAAAGAAGAAAAATGCCATGATAATTCATTTCCAGTAATAGAGCTAATTGGAATTTAAATAATGATAAAAGGAAAAAACAAGAGAAATAAATGTGAAAGATGTGATGAAGGGACTTAACACTAAGAGAGAGACAGAGAGAAAGGGAGAAGTGGAAGAAAGGTATTTTTGATTTTCAAACAGGAAGATGGGATGAATTCAACACAATCAACTCATTCAACCATCAATTTATTTACTGACGTTTAAAAGAAGAAAAAAAAAACTTCATATGTGTGTCTCTTCATGAAGTTAAAGTGAACTATTAACGAACTATTAATGAGTTCGAATAACAATTATGTGGCAATGTTATAATTATGTACGCAATATTTTATTTGCGATAAATAAATAAAAGAAGGTCAAAGGTTACTGTCCACGGAGAAAAGAAAAAAATAATAATAAATATGAAAAATTTTATCATTTAGGCAACACAACTTTGCTTAACTCATTTTTTTTTTATTATTATATGTCGAATAGAGATGTAGGAAGATATGGAGAGAGATCTAACTTCATGACATAAACAATAAATGAAGAAATGTCAATTACAGACCCAAAGAATCATTTTCTTTAGTTTAGGCCTCAGGCTTTTTTTTTTCTTTTAAGAATCTCACGGAGGGAATTCCCTTGCGGATAATTCATACGGCACTGCAAACTTTTAACTTCCGCAAAAAAAGGAGAAAAAAAACATTCCTTCTTCATCAGTTTACTAAACGATATTATCGACGAAACTATAAAAATTCCAAGGAAAAATTTCACGGGGAAATAAAATTGCGAGGTTTTTTTCTCTATAATTGAGAGAGAAATTTTGAGAGATAATAAGCTCATGTATGTGTTGTAAATAAGTAATTTGCGCGTAAAAAAAGGGAAGAAAGCAAAAAAAAAAAACAAGAAGTTATTGATGTAAAAGGAATTTTTAAATAATAACAATAAAATTCGTTATTAAATATCGTTATATCGAAAAAATGAAATATTTTTGAATAATATATATATGCATTCAATTATTAAACACATCCCACCCGCCATATTCGGAATGAAATGAAATGAAAAACAGGAAAAGTGGATGCTAAACTGTCCTCGAAGAGAAGCATCTGTCCAGGAAGAGAGAGGCGCAAAAGGGATGGTGGAT